AGCCCTACCATATTCAGGCTTTTCACTACCAGGATGCTATAAATTTTAAGCTAGTTTACATAAATTTGCATGTGTTATGAGTCAGTAGGTAAGATATGTGTTTTGATCAAATAAATTTCATTTTAAAATTTTATACTTAATTTTTCCCATTTGAGGATTATTTTCTCTGTCTCTCCTGGTTATTTTTTTATAAATGAGGTAAATGTTAAAATATTAGTTTAAAAGAGCTCTGTGAACAGGAAAAGAAACATTTTGTATAATACTGTACAGTAAAACCTCAATCAGAAATGTGCTGAGAGATGGTATGGTTAGTTTGGTATAAAGTTTATTCAGGATATTCCCTTTGCTTCAGAACTTGTTGAAAATGTTTCACAACCATGAAATGCTCCGAGGACCAGGAGCCCCGCTGAAGTCTGTGTGACTGGGATGGCAGGGCTCCTCCTGCAGGCCCCTCTGCTTGGAAGGAGGGGTGGACGGGGCCCCTGCTGAGCTCATCTGGCCTTTGTGTAGTCGAGAAAGTCACTGGTAATCTATTTCTGAGACATCAGTCTTCTTCAGAGGAAGTGATGATTGAGGACATTGGTCATGGCATCAGTAAAGAGTCAGCAAGGCTCTGGGGCCTGATTTCTCTGTCCTCCCCACCCCTACTGCCATAAACAAACTTCCCCTGAATTGCCCTGACCTAAAACTAATTCCTGTGCTGAAAGAACTACAGTTAAGAGTAGCAGTATATTCATTCTCTAAAGTGGGCTGGTTTTGAGAGTAAAGATACCTGGAGAGCAGGTGTAAAGTGGGGACAGTCTAGGACTTGCGGTCACCCTGACCAGATTTTCATGGTTCCCTCTGCCCTGTAATTATCCTCCTTATGTGCTTGAAAGCGGATTTACCCTTTGGTACCAAATAGATGGGGCTATCAGCTGATGAGCAAACAAACCATAACATGAGTTTTAGAGTTCTTGATCATGTTTGTCTGCTCAACCTTTGGCATATTCTTGCTGGTTGGGATTTTGTAAGTTGGCAGGGACATCTGAGCACTGCACCTGTGCCTCTGGAAAGTGAAGTTAGCTTGAAATGCATTTGAAGTCAAATTAGAAAGTCCAGTGTGGAGGTGGTATTTATAGTCTTACCTGAAGTATTACACCAAAACAGTATTGTGATTGTTGAAAGATGTGTTTTAGTTAATAGCAGCCTGTAGGAGCCCTATCATTATGGGCCGTCTTCATATCTATGCTGAGAGACAGTGCTCCCCAAATGCTTTTTGTTGTGTGCCTGGGTACTTAGTCTGTCTGACTCTTTGTGATCCCATGGACTGTATCCCACCAGGCTCCTCTGTTCATGTGATTTTCCAGGCACGAATGCTGCAGCAGGTTCCCATTTCCATACTCCAGGGGATCTTCCCGACCCAGGAAGATCGGGATTGCATCTCCTGCAATTGGCAGGTGGATTCTTCACCACTGTGCCCCCTTGGAAGCTCTACCCAAATGCTTAGAATAGTCCTTAGGTGAGGCTTCAAATAGAAGATCCACACTAACTCCGCAGAAGATAATGTGGAGGCTCAGTTACATGCCAGGGACTGTGCCTTATACTTTATGTGGCTTCTTTCACTTAGCCTTCAGAGCACCCTGGTTGAGAAAGTGAGTGGGGTGTTGTTGACTACACATTGAGACTGAACAACATCCCCAAGGCTACAGGGCTATTAAGATTTTTAACCCAGGCAGTCTGACTCCAGAGAGACACTCTTGCCTGCTGGTAAAATCTGTGCTACCTGTTATTATAATTAGCTGATTATAACACCACCACCTCTTTGGGGGTGGAGGAATACTTTATAGAACTCTTTCTCATACTTGGTCATCTTTGATCTTGAGGTGACAGAAGAGTCATGATGAAGGGGTGGGGCCACCCTTTTCAGTTGCTGGAGGGCTTTGGTTGTGACATCAGTAAAGGGTCTTTCTGGCTTTAAGCCTGTCTTCTCTATCCTCCCCACCCCCACCATCAGACAGATTCCCCGTGAGTGTCCCTGACCCAGACTAATTCTGCACTGAATGAGCTACAGTTAGAGTAGCAGTTTTGGAACTGACTTGATCAATAACCTTAGTAAAGTCCAGGCTGGGTTTCAGACTAGGATCAAGAATTTTTCTCATTTTGAGCTACTCTGATTTATAATGTTAGGAATAACTGACTGTAATGCTTCTCTTTTATTACCAAAGCAGTTAGGATTTCCATGTAATAGGATTCATATATTTTATTATTTTTTCTAATTTTCATTTTGTTTCCCTCCTCTTTATCTTTTATTAGACATCTACATCCTTTTTTTCAATCTACCAATATGTGTTTACTTTTTAAAATTAAATTTCTATTTTTTAATTCTAGGTTATTAGTTTTATTTTTTAGAAGTTTTTACTAACCATTCACATTTAAGATATTTTGCCCTCTCCAAATCAGCCACTGCTTTCTCAGTGTGACTCTTTATTCATAACAAATTTGCTACTTTACATGATGCAACTGTAAGGAAAAAAGATCTGTGTTTAATGTTTCTAAGTTTGTAGTTTTATAAAGCATAATAATGCAACTCTGGTAAGTTTCTTATGTAATAAGTTAGGGAAATACCTAAACTGACTAAGCTGTTAAAATAACAGTAGAGAAAAAAAATAACAGTAGAGAAATAAAAATAAACTTTTTTTGTAAAATCCTGATTTTTGTCTTTATCAGTGTTCAATTTCTCCTGTTCACATGTCTAGCAAAAGTCCAAATGGCCTTACAGTGGCAGAATGGTAGACTTGTTAGATTCATGATGAGAGTCCGTGCCAAGTCCAATTTGATTCTAGAGCAATTATGTTATTAGAACATTGCTGATTGCCCCAGTGCCTATTGTTCAGCATAACCTTTAAATGCTAGTGGTAATTAACTACTTTATCATTCTACTGGGAAACTCCAACATGTAGAACTCTGTTCTACAGTCAGATTCACAAATAAAGTGCTACCCACAGTTCCTGAAACAGCCAGTTTAAAAAGAAAAAGCTATTTGTATATGTGTGCCAATAAATAAACATTACCATTTAGTATTAATTTTTTTAAATTTTCTTTAAAAAAAATTTTTTTTTATTTTTATTAGTTGGGGGCTAATTACTTTACAATATTGTAGTGGGTTTTGTCATACATTGACATGAATCAGCCATGGATTTATTAATATTAATTTTTAAGAAAATATTTTATCATTGTTTAAAAAATCAAGTTTTCCTTTTTGACCCAGTAACAGTAATGTTCAGTGGAGAGTATCAAAATCAAAAGACTCGGTGAATCATACACAGATGTACTCATTTTTCTTCTTGTTGTAAAACACCACATTAGTAGGATGAAGGGGTGTAGAAGTATATGATGGAGTAAGGCGAAGAAGGGGCAGAGCCGCCACGTTGCCAGACCTAAGGGGCATCATGCCTCAGATCCTACTCTACTGAACGACCGCCTATGGATTTGTTCAGCCAAGGGACCCTCTGGAAAGGAATGTACCACATGAATTTTGGGTTACGATTGAGGTGTGCTGAGGGTTTGTGCAGTCATTTCTGTTCGTAAAAAACAATTCTTGGCAGCTCAGTGCCACTCATTGTGCTGGGTGTGTCTCTTCCCCCCCCCCCCCGCAACCCCCCAATCAGGGGTCTGCAGCCTGGAGTGGGAAGGACCTGCCTGACAGTGTCTGAGGGAGTATTGAAAAGTGAAGCTAGAGCTGGTTCTTAAGAGTGATGAAAGAGGGTTTCAAAGGGAAGATCTGAGAGAAAGGACATTCCTGAAAGCCGGGGGGAAAAGGCTCCCAGTGCAGTGACAACAGGCACGAGACAGGGTGAAGCGGCAGCATGCTGAGAGCTCTGAGACCAGGCCCGGGCTGAAGTGGGGCAGAGAGAAGGGCTTTGAAAGACAGCTACACTCAGAAGTTGGGGTGTTTTTCCCCTGTGGATGGTGGGACACTGTTTGTCATTTTTAAGGAAGGATGAGAATCTCTGGAAAGAGATTTGTTTGAGTATCCCAGAAATGTGGAGGATAGACTGGAAAGGGGAAAAACTAGATACAGGGGTTGGCATTAAATTGGTAGGTAGTAGCTCACAGATAGTGTTTGTGTGCATGATTTCAATGGCATAATGGTTGTAAAAGCCTGATGGCATTGGGTCGTGGTAGGAAAGCAAAGCAGAAGCATTGAAGCAAGTCTTAACGGCCTGGGAATGAGGATTGGAATTCAATGGGCATAGATGAGAGTCAAGAAGCTATCAGTACACATTATGAAATTGTTTGACTTGTACTGTTTTGCTTCCGTCTTCAGCCTTTAATGGATAATGCCTGCCATCTTTTCTGCCACCAAACATAAGAGTGAATGTTTGAGTAGCAGTAGTTACCATGCGTGGTTCCTACATTTAGAGTAATCATATAAAACCTTGAGACGGACTGATACAGGGAGGAAGGGTTTAGACTTATTCATCCCCTGTCAATGGGAACCCACTTACTGGCCCTCAGTCTTGCTCCTCTAAACTCCCACCCTGCACCCCTGCCTCTGGAGCTAATGGAGGAGTCGCCATCGTCACATCTGACCACTGGGGAGTGATCTTTTCACAGCTGTACTGACCCAGGGCGGGCTTCCCAGGTGGCACTAGTGGTAAAAAGCCCACCTGTCAATGCAGGAGATGTAAGAGATGCAGGTTCAATCCTTGCATAGGGAATATCCCCTGGAGGAGGAAATGGCAACCCACTCTAGTATTCTTGCCTGGAAAATCTCATGGACAGAGGAGCCCAGCAGACTGCAGTCCATGGGGGCGCATAGAGTCTGACATGACTGAAGTGACTTAGCATGCACACGTGCATCAACCCAGAGTGGGTAGGGAGAGGCCTGAATCCTCTTAACAGCTTGGTGAGCGTATACTAAGAGCAAAAAGGAGATAAAGTCTCATGTGATTTTTAAAAATGACAAGGTTAAATGACTGGTCATCTCTCAATTCTGCTTCCCTTTCTAATTCCAGAGCTCTTCAGTATCCCCATCAGCCAGTTTCCGTGGTGCTGAGAAGCACAGAAACTCCACAGACTATTCCTCTGATAGCAAGAAGCAGAAAACTGAAGAAAAGGACATTGCAGCCCGTTATGTAGGTTCACTCGCCTTTGCTTTGGGGGAGGCAGTTTATCCTGCTTTCTAATCAACAGCCTTTTTACCCTCTTAATGTTACCAACCAAAACTAGACCGCAAGATAACAACATTCTAGGAGAGAAAAGTAGTTAATACAGTTGTAGCTGAGTGTCAGTTGCCTGACTGAAGGCCTGTGTTTGCAGGTGAATGAGCCAGGAAACAGCGTTTCATCTGGCAACTAATAGAGGACCTGTGTTCCGTATTATTTCTGTTAGGTGTATTTGCTTCCCTCCATGCATTTCAAGGTGGTAGAATTTTCAGTGGCCAGCTAGAAATGTTAAGGGAAAATGTAAAATCACAGACAACCTGTTAAAATGTCTGGATGACCTCCTGTGCTGAGCAATGTAGCACATTTTGGTGGAATGTTACTTCCAGAGATATCCAGATGTGTTCCTATCATGGACCAAAGCTCATTTCCCTTCAGTGACTGCTGCTTCAGATTAGTGAAGGGAGCAAGTGGGATGGGACTCCCTGGTATGGAGGCACGCAGACCACGTTCCACTTCTGGTGCCGGTGCCCTGCAAGACTGCAGGCTCAAAAGAAGCCAAGAACTTGAATTTTCATGTGAAGCCTCCTGAATTCAAAATTGTGGCTTCTATGGCTAATTCATTTCAGTGTATGACAAGGACCACTGCAATGATGTAAAGTAATTAGCCTCCAACTAATAAAAATAAATGGAAAAAAAAAAAAACAACAAAATTGTGGCTTCTTACCCAGTCTTTGAAAGACACTGACAGAACTATCCCGCCCGTCTGTAGGCTGGATCATGTAGCATGGGCAGGCCAGGTGGCACCTGATACTCTCGACTAACAAGCCATAAGCTTTGACTTTTCAACTAAAATGGAATCCTCCTGTTACCTGTCTCGTAGCAGCATCACGAGGAGTAAAGAACGCAGTACGTTGTAGAGTGTTTAGCACTGTTTGGTGCAGTTCGATTCTATAACGTGTGAGGAACTAGTTACTCTGGACTTTATCTAGGGTAAATCTGGCTGCTTTTTTTTTTTTTTTTTTGCTGGGGGAGGAGATAATGCTTCTCAATTGTCAATGCAGGACAGCGATGGTGAGAAGAGTGATGACAACTTGGTGGTTGACGTTTCCAATGAGGTATGTTTGTGGCTCATTTGACTTCCTGCTCTTACCCGGTTTTAACAATGACTAGTGTCCCAACAATTAGTGTCCATAATGTTTTCTTAATTTCTAAAGGGACCCATAATTTGTTTATTTGAAAAATTTGTGTATTACACATCCTTTTTTATTGTTACTCTTGTCTATGAAGTGCACATACGTTCTGTTACCAACAGGAATGCACACCAGACATCCGTGGTCAGTCTGCAGGTCTCCTTGACAAGTTACTTGCAAATTTGTAGAGTTTTTATTTTTGTTGCTGTTTTAAAATAAATATGATAAATTTTGTAGTATTTTTATTGACCTCGATACTGAATATTTACTGCAGCAATTTAATGAGTCTTATGGTCTGTTCCAGAACATTTTTTTGCTCCTAAGCTATTGAAGACTTTTGGCTTGAAACGTCCACACCAAGTACTCTGGCACTGTGAATGTGCTGTGCTGTATTTGATACCCTTGATGTTGCTTTGTAGGATCCGTCATCACCTCGAGGGAGCCCAGCACATTCCCCGAGAGAGAACGGCCTGGATAAGACACGCCTGCTCAAGAAAGATGCCCCCATCAGTCCAGCTTCGATTGCATCCTCCAGCAGTACTCCTTCCTCCAAATCCAAAGAACTTAGCCTTGTAAGTAGTTGTTCATTTTTCTTGGGGTTTCCCAGGAGGCGCTAGTGGTAAAGAACCTACCTGCCAGTGCAGGAGACATAAGAGACATGGGTTTGATCCCTGGGTCGGGAAGATTCCCAGGAACACATGGCAACTCACTGCAGTATTCTTGCCTGGTGAATCCCATGGACAGAGGAGCCTGGTGGGCTACAGCCCGTGGGGTTGCAAAGACTTGGACACGACCAAGCGACTGACACTTTCCTTACTTTCACTGTCTTTCTTTGCATTGCCTATTTCCAGATGATTAGTTGTAATTAATTCTAAAGTTTTATTTTTCTTCATTTTTCCAGAGGACTTTGATCACTAAGTATATGTATATGTTCAGTATTCAGTTTAATTGGCAAAGGTACTTTGAAACAGAGTGGGGTCACTGACTTGGTGATGGATGTTTGTTTTGTGAGTCTTTTTGTAAGGATGGGGGAAGGACATGGGGAAATGTAGTGAAACATGTCTCAGCAAAGATGAAGATATACACATTGGGGTTACAGAGATGGTTTTGTCATCTGTGGTTTATGGTAAATTTAGTTTTTGGCTTGGATGTGATTTTGTTGCTAGCTTTGTTTTGAATTATCAAGCTATATGACTGCAATAATTTTCCCTTCCTAACTAAAAAGTGATCTGTCATTTATAAAAGACTGTCTTGAGTCACACCACAAATCACAAATGCAAAAAATGAGACTGCTTGCAAGTCAGGATAATCTCCCTGTAGCCCCGTCTTTTGTGGCTGTGTAGTTAATTGCATTTTTATGTGATGTGTCTTCCTTTTTCCTCACCAGTTATTTCCTTATAACATAGTGTTTAAAAAAAAAATCAGTTTTCAAATAGCCTTTTGAATTCACAGTTGAAAGAAAGAAAATTCCTCAGTTTCTCTGCCATTTGGAGGCTGTGTCTGGCACAGCCTGGATTTAGTTTATTTCTGTTGTTTTCTCTTGGCCTTCCGGCCTGTTAATGGCAGCTCATCTGTGCTGACCTCTGTGATGATTCAGACTTGGTTCTCTGTTAAGGGGACCTGTTAACCAGGAACGCCTCTTGTGGCATGAACGGTCCATCAGGAACCCAGCGACACTGCTCAGTCTTAGAGCAGCCAGCAAGTGGCCTGTCACATCAGGACATCGCGAACTGTCCGCCTTTGTCTGACTCAGGCCAGCTTCCTGGAAATGGCCTCCTCTGCCCCAAATTCCGCTCTGGTTTATGTCCTCCCGAACATTGGTTTTGTGGTCTCAGGGAACACTTTTTGTTTCTCTGTTAGCTCTTCTTAACTAATAAAAAGAGACGCCCATGCTGAAGAATCTTCCATTTCTTTTTCCTCTCCTTCTCTGCCTTTTCAAATGTTTAACATAATTATTAAAATTGTGTTCTAATTACCAGTGTATTCCATTATGTCTCTTGTTAGAATGAAAAATCTACTACTCCTGTGTCGAAGTCCAATACCCCTACTCCACGAACCGATGCACCCACCCCAGGCAGTAATTCCACTCCCGGACTGAGGCCGGTTCCCGGAAAACCCCCAGGAGTCGACCCCTTGGGTTAGTCAGAAAAAAAGTTTCTGTGTACATATTTATGCTTCCTGTTTTTAAAGAAACTATAGCAATTTAAAGAGTGTAATACATTAAGACTACAGTGATCAGCATGGACTGGCTGTGAGTTTTTTTAGTCTGAATCAGGCACCTGGCACTTACCCTGTCTGACACATAGTAGGTGTTCAATAAATTAAGGCGAAAAGCTTGAATGACTTGAAGAAAGCTTGAATGACTTTTGCGAATATTAACATAAGCTTATTTGAATTACGGATCCTATTTCTTAACATATGTAAGAACGTGTTACTCCTTGTATTCATTAGCCCTCATTATTATTTCCTGTGTGTGTCCTTGGTTTTTCTCCTCCCTTCTGTTTGGGCCTGTAGCTTCAAGCCTAAGGACCCCCATGGCAGTACCTTGTCCATACCCGACCCCGTTTGGGATCGTGCCGCACGCGGGGATGAATGGGGAGCTGACCAGCCCCGGAGCTGCCTATGCGGGACTACATAACATCTCCCCGCAGATGAGCGCGGCTGCTGCTGCTGCTGCTGCGGCCGCCGCCTATGGGAGATCACCAGTGGTATGTTGTGAACTTTTACAGAATAGAAATATTTCAGAGCTCAGAAAATGGCCATGCGTATTTTTACCTAGGGTAGTTTTTATAGCTTGAGGTATCTATGGAGCAACCTGTGCTTACTTATAAATTAAACTGCATGTCATTATATTGTACGATTCATTTTCTTTCATGAGATGGGGCAGTTTTTGTGTGTTATATTCCTTTAATAAAAAAAGTTAAACCTACAGAAGTAGAGCAGATAATATAATAAATATAGGTCCCCTTTATTTGCATCATGAGCTTCAATAATAATACTGTTTTTTTAATGTTTGTTACACCCCCAAGTATGTGACCATGAAATCATGTACATCCTCCTGTCATCTCATCAATGAATACTTGTATATTTATCTCTAAAATCCTATTTAAAAGCATCTATTCTCCTAGGATTTGGAAAGGTACTGAGTAGGATGAAATGAGTTAATGTAACTATGTTTATTTCTGCTGCCTTGCTTGGGAACAATTTTAGGTTGGATTTGATCCACACCATCACATGCGTGTGCCGGCGATACCTCCAAACCTGACAGGCATTCCAGGAGGAAAGCCGTGAGTACCAAGCCTTGTGCCTCGTGCTCACTGTGTGTCTGGACCCTCACTGGCCCTTTAGACTCTGAGAGCTACTGGACAGTGTTGGAAAGTTCCTTCAGCTTGCAGGGGTTTTTTGTTGTGGGGTTTTGGTTTTTCTTTTCAGAATATTTTTCTTTTTCTTTTTTAGCACAAGGCAAGAGGTAATGAGGTGGGGTTTTAGATTTTCAATTTAAAATCTCAAGCTTCTCATGTGGAAGTGCAAATTGCTGGGGCATCTCTAGTAGTCAGATCTTCTCTACATCGGTTACTGATTTCAAGGCAATTCTTTCATTGTCTTGGGGGAAAAAAGTCATCTTATGTGCAAACCTAGATGCTCAAAATTAGAGCATGTTAGGGAAAGACATGCCAGGCTTCAGAGGCTGAAAAGAAAGAAGCTCGTTTGTGTTTCTGGAGAAGGTGGCTTGCTCAGCGGGCTCCTGCCCTGTGACCCGGGCGTCCGGAGCCTTGCAGTCATGGCCCCCTCCAGCCATGATGGTGAAACACACGGCAGTTGTTCCTCTTGTGCGCGCTGATCTCTCCCGCGTGTCATTCCTTAGCCTTCATTTTACCCACTGCACCTGATTTTTATTACCGCCTGTGCACACTCCTCTGCTCTTGGGGGCTCACAGTTTATGCTTGTTCAAGAAGTGACTGAAGGTGTGTGCCGGCCTCCGCCCCCCCTGACCTCCTCTTGCTGTCGCTCACTGCCGTGCTCTCAGCATTTCATTGGCACCCTGTTCCCCGCCTGTCTCCTCTGCCCCTGTGTTGCCGGCCCCACAGCAGTACACGTGCCTGGCCTTGACTCTCCACCTCGTGTCTCATGCTCTTGGCTCTTCTCTGCAGCTTCTCTGCAGACTCTACCCTGAACTTCCCTGTTGCGTCATACACAGTGTTGGTTCCATAGCCAGATTGCTCAGTAAATATTTGACTGATTAATAAGTGAGTCAAGGCAAACTAGACTTTAAGTTCCTTGAGAGTTGAAGGTATAAATATCAATTACCATAAAACTCTGTGTATTTGTGTGTGTTCGGCAAATAGTTGTTGACTGACTGACAAGTCTTGTTGACCAAGAACCCTGGTGTAATTGAAGGTGAAAGTTTGGTATATTTCAAGCAGTGACTAAACAACAAGGTCAAGGATTAATCAAATAAACTGAATGCCTACAAGTTTCATATAAACCTGTGGAGATGGAGAGGTTTCTCCAGGGGAGCAGTGTGGTCTGTTTCCAGGTACTGTGTGGAGTTACCGCCTAGTCACCAGGCAGGGGTACCCAGAGCTGTAGTGTAACCACTTCCAGGTGAGGTGGTGCATCACCCTTTCGGTAGGGCTGGTGGGTAACAGGATGGCTAAGAGTTTTTGTTCCTGGAATTACCAGGTCACACCTAATGCAGTTGGCAAGTGACATCAGGAAATGCCAAAGAGAGCATGGTGTGTTCACCAGGGGTTGGGTTCTGGAGTGTGATAGAGCCAAGGTTGAATTCTGACTCTGCCGCTTGACACTAGGAAGGAACTGACTTTATGCAGAGTTTCTCAACTTTGTGAGCCTCAGTTGGTTCATCTTTAAAAACAGAGTTGGCACCTCCCTGATAAGAAGGGCATGAGGATGAGATGATATGATAGAGGTTTAGTACAGTGTTTGGTTTACAGTGACTATTCAGTCACCTTCTGCATCATTTCCCCTTGAGCTTTGCCCAGGTTATTATCAGTTTTTCAATTGCTTATGCAATAGAACATAGTGGGAGGCAGAGATACTGCAAGAAGATTAGACTGAGTATATTAGATTCCCTCTTCGTATCTTTGTGTGTCTTTAACAAGGCACCAAGACATACAAATTAGCACTCAGTATGCATATAGAGAGAAATACTTTTATTGTAGATTTTTACAGAAGAGATAATGTAATATGGCTTCTAGATCACAGGATGGAGAGTTGTGACACTTGTGCATGTTTTTCAACAGGAAAACTATCTTTTGTGCTACAACATAAGACATAATAAAGCACCTAAAGGCCTTCTTCGTCACATGCACAAAGGAACTGCTTTTCTTTAGAAAGACTTGAAACATTTTTGTCTCTCTCTCCTTGTTTTGTTTTGTTTTTTTACAGAAAAATTGCTAGATATTATCACAAATTATAATTAAATGTGTGTTCCAAACTAATGAATAAAATAGCATTTACTTGCCAATTCACATTGGGTCCTCTTGTTTATTCTGGTGAATTAACAGAAGTTCCTCTCAATAAGTAACTGAAATGACAACACAGTTTAATTTTAACATCAGCCAAAAGTGGGCTTTTTTCCCTCACATGCTACTTATATGAGGCTTTTATAAATAATATAAAAGTATTCAATTAAAACCATTGCACTGATTACATTGTGGGAAATGGCATGTGACTTCAGCCATAACAAAAGGTCTCAGGTTTATGGGTTTTAAGCTGCTCACAATTCAGAAATTCTTCTCTGCTGTTGTTTTTGTTTTTATAAAGCAAGATTTTTCAAAATAGGAAAAGTTCCTGGCACACAGTAAACTCTCAAGTTTTATTTGTTGGCTGGTTAACCTACTACTAGTGGGTTCATGTGCTCCCAGAACCCAATCTTCTGTCCTACTGAATGCTACATGGAGTGCAACAGCCAGACCTTTCTTTGTGAATTTAGGGTCTAGTTCAGTCTTGTGAGACATCAGATACTTGGAGAAGGTGTCATGAAGCTTGAAAGTGACGAGTGTGATGTTACGGAACCAGGCCCCTCTCAGAGGGAGGAGGAGGAGGTACAGGTGGGGAGGCCAAGAGCCTTCTGAGCTGTGCCGAGTTTTCATCCACATCTGATGATCCAAGTAAAATAGCATCCTCAACACACATGTTTTAAACAGGTCGATTTGCAGATGTCTGAATTGTTTGAAGTATAGTTCTGTCAGGAAGTCCAAACTTCCTTTCTCTTAACCATCTCCTTTGGAGACCACTTGTAGTAGCTCTTTGTAGCTTCATCTGCCGTGAGGGAGAAAGAGAGACAGATGGGGTAGAGAGGGTGGGGGGCAGAGAGAGAGAGAGAGTTGAGTGTATGTATGTGTTTCTGTGGCTTCCTGCACCTGTTACTTCCAGCCCTGTATTTTCGTGATTTGTTGGACATTTCAGCTGGGCATCTTAAGTGTGTATTACTTGCAGTGCAAATGTGTTATATTCACAGAGTGCTTCTCCAGATTTACCCGGTTTTCAGCGCACTCTGTTCTTTGTTCCCCTGTGCTCAGACGCGGTCATTGTCGGCTTCTTCCTCACTTCTCTCCAGCTAAGTCCTGTAGGATTTTATATCCACTGTTACTGCTCAGGTGTCATCCTGCTACTTAACCTGGTTCAGGTGCCCCATTGCCTCTCGCCTAGATTATTGGAATAATTGTCTCCTATTCCTCCTATCTGTTGTACTCCTAGCTGCCAAATTCATTCTGAGTGGCTTTGCTCCTCCTCCTCCAAGCATTCTTCAGTAAAATCTATTTGTGAAATTCTCAGGCTGACCTTCCGTACATTGTGTATGTGAGAAAGAGAGAGATATTTTATCAAGCTGGCTCCTTCACCACTTAACTGTTTTGTGTCATTGCTGAATTCCTGAATTCAAACCAGTCCAGGACTTCCCAAAATCATTTCACCTCATCCTTTTAGAGCTGTTTTCCTCCACCTCGAAGGGTTTTCCCATCTTCCTCCCTCTTTGTTGAAATCCTTCCATTCTCTAAAATCCATCTCCAGTAGCATGTCTCATGAAACATAAACTTTATTTTTGCTTTTTGAACCATGACAGAACTTCATCTTGCACCTGCTATTGTAACCACTTTTATACTTTTCTCATCATACTTCCTAGATTATAAGCCACTTACGGGCAAGGCCAACATCTTACCCCATTTTGTATCTCGGCATGACATCCGTATCAGAATATGTGAATAAGGAGTATTGATGCATTTAATTAGATAGAGAAAAAAATGGATTTTTAAGCCTGCACCTCTCTCATTTCTAGAAAGGTTGGCTTTCATTACACGTTCCAGTACTTGTTGCTAGCTACACATTAGAGTTTGTTGAAATCTGATAATAAGTATGTACTATAGCTTTCTTTTTTCCAGTCTTAAGTATCATTTATATATATACATATATATACTTTTAATAGTAAACAGAGGGCTACATTATACCCTTAATGCAAGTAGACTCTTGAAATTCTTAATTCAGGGAGTTCCAAGAACATAGTAGGTGCTCACAGAGACGTTGAGGTTGAGTTGAAGAATGTCATGTTGAAAACCTCAAAAGAAATTATGTGCCTGGTTTCTTAACTATTCAAATTCTCAAGGCTCTTTAAAAATCATTAGTTATTCTGGAGGGGAGTGAAGGGATATCTTTTCAAGGAGATTATCATTAAGAATGTATAACACCATCTCTAAACTTGGAGTAATCTTCCTGCTTTCTTTCAGATTTACTTCATGGCCTCTTAATTGCTAAATCCATTAGCCTTTGTCTCCCCTCAGAATTTCTCTGCTGAGGAGACTCTCCACCTGCCGCACTCCATGGGCTTACAAAGGCTGTGCCACCCTCCCCACCTCCCGTTCCATTCTGGTGTCTTCCAGAACTGAACTCACTCTGCCTTCACGTGAAAACCCAACCCATCTCAGATGTGTGCCTGAGTCTCCACCCCCGCTTCTGCCTTGTTGGGAGATATCTCCGTTATTAAGACTTTACACTTGGCTTGGGGTCTTCCTCCACTCAGAGGCTACCGTCATCCTGGGTGTCAGTGGTACGCAAGATCAGCCCTTCCGTAACCTCATCTCAGGCCTCAGGCCACATCGTCTATAATGAACTTTTGTCCTCTTTGACATCATTTATCTACTTAATAGAGCCCAGGGAAGACCTTGTCATCACTTTCCACTGTGTCACCTCCATGAGCCCCACATGCCATCGAGAACAGCATTCTCTGCCTCTGCGCAGCCACAGAAATCTTTGGAATTGCAAATCTCTTCTCAGCTTTCTTACTGTCTCTCAAACGTAGGATGCCAGTTTCTCCCCTAGATTGCCACGTTAGTCCCCTGACTGGTTTTCCTCCTTCTACAATCCATTCTCATCCAACAACTAGAACAATCCTTTGAAAACATGAATTGAATTGCATCACTCCCTGCCCTACACAGAAGTCTCCAGTGACTTCCCGTTCTGCTCGGAATAACAGCCCACAGTCCACAACACAGCCTCTGAGGCCTTTCTAACATGGGTCCTGCCTCTTCCTCCAGCCTCTCACTCACAGTGCTTGCTGGCCTCCTCCTCACATGACTCTTCTAGAACTTCAGATTTGCTGTTCCCATCCTGGCATACTCTCCTCTCTATATGTGAGACTGCGTCCTGCCTTCAGGCCCCAGCTTGTACGCTATCTCAGACCTCACTGTGCACCTTTCGTCTCTTAATCTGAAACCGTGTGTGTGTGTGTGTGTGTGTGTGTGTGTGTGTGAGCAAGAGAGAGAGGACTGCTGTCTGAGGTTATTTATTTATTTGCTTATATATTATCTCTCTTCCCTTCTAGGATGTAGGCTCTGGAGATAGGGACTTTATGTTGTTCACCTCTGATTCCCCACCATCTGATGGTACTTGGCACATATTGCGCATTTATTTAGTAACTATTTTCTGACTGAGTAGTGTAAACATTCTGCCTCCCTCTGGCCTTGTTTACCATCCGCTTCCTCCTCAGATCATCTTCCTTTCTTGGCCGAGGTAATTTAACACCTGTTCTTTATGTTGCAGCCCAATTGGCCCAAATGGGGCAATTTTCCCTGTTGTTCTCATTTTGTCAAATTCTCCATTGTTCATAGCACTGACCATATGACAGCTTTATTTATGTGAGTATCTCACTGATGTACCAGTGTATCAGCCCCTCAGTCCATCTGCCAACTACCCCAGTGCCCGGAATGTAACTTTAGGAGAACAGGGGATATGTGGGGTTTTTTTCTCTTTGTTGCATCAAGTGCATCACGTACTGGGATACCTGAGAAATAAGTTATTGACCATCTATGCCACCTTTGCATGATATCATGTCTCCTGATTTTCTTTCTCTCTGACTGCTCTTGCTGGGGTCCCGTAAATGTTGTAAGCATTTTCTTAAGTTCTGTGTCTAGTCTGCTCATTTGCATAATCTGCCCCAGGTTTACCCTTTTCTGCTCTTTAGCTTCAGCTCTCCCCACTTTGTGGATGAGCATACAGTGATCTTTCTGACCTAACCTCTCTTCTGAATCACAGTACTCAATTTCCGGTTGAGATGTTTGATTCCTCACCTGCCCTCAAGTTGGAAAAAACCATACTGTTTACCTCCCCACATGTCTCCCCTTTGGTTATGCCTCCCTGTCACCCTCACTGATGCGTGTTGTAGCCTTGCTAGTCAGTTGGTTCCAAGCCTGAGCACCCTTTTCAGCATGTCTCTCTCCCAGGCCACACATCCAACACGTCTCCAAGTCCTGCTGCTTTGACCAAAGAAATATATTTCTTGGTTTCCCAGCTTCCCACCACTTCCCCCCCTCAGCAATCTGACATATTGCTTCTCTTCCATATCCCAGTTCTCATTGCAGTCTACAGAGCAAGAGAAAGCCCTCTGCCCTCTGGTCCCTAAATCTTCCACAGCTTTGTCCTTTGGACTATCAAGATGTTGTTGATGATATTCTCTCAGTAATGGGTCAGATTTGGATGCGTGTGGCTATTCTGTAGACTTTTGCACTAAGGAACTAGAAACTGTTTTGATTCTAAAACTTCCTGATAGATCCAGGCTCCTGTCCTTTGTCTACCCATAAATGCTTTTCTTTGGTATATTTTTCATAAACTCTTTTCCGTAAACAGAGCACATTCTAAAGCTCCATGCCAAGGAACATGACATCATTTCCAAAGTGGGCTGCTGCCCATGACGTTCCCCGAGACAGGCCCTGCTCCCTTCTGCTCACTGCCAACATCTCCCGCCTCCTAGAACCCAACTTGCATCATAACAGGCTCACTTGTTATCTGTTCCCTGAATTCAGTGCCTTAAGAATAGAGGTGTCTACTGAGGGAGGTGCTTGAACTTAAGTGAACTAAATGCTTTTACAACTAGAGGGTTTTCCCTAGAAATGATTTGGAAATGGAGCTGCTGATATGCACTAACAGGTGAGCATCTGGGGCAGTCACACAGGAGGCTTTTTTAGGTTCTGATTCCATTGGGAATTACTGGGATTTGTTATTGTCAAGTCTGATGGAACTTTATCCCCAAAAAAATGTTTTTATTCTTTTTGGTGGCTCATATGCTATTTCACCATGTAGGCTTAAAGCATTGTAATGTGTTAAAAGTTCATAATTTGAGCTTATTGATTTTCATTAGTTAGTTACTTGATTGGAATGAGGTGATCTATAGGTTAAAATTTTATCACAGGCTTCTGAATCACCTGAATTACAAGGCAATGCCAGTTTGCAAAATGACTGGAAGTGTAGATAGTATACTGGGCATTGGTAATCTTATTTAATTCTCTGAGAAGTATAGGTAGCATTCACTCCATCGTAAAGATAGAGACTGCGTCATCACTGATGTCATACAGCAGGTAGCTGATCAGAGACTTAGCTCTATAGCTCTGAAAGTTACGTTCTTTCCACAATATTCATTAAATTTGACCTGTTTGCAAATCATAAGTAGCTCTGAAAATGTTTTATTTCTCATCTCATTGTAGTGATCAGTTAAGTAACATTTTTCACATTCTCCTTTTTCCTGTCTTGTCTCCTCCCCACTGTCTTAGGGCATACTCCTTCCACGTTACTGCAGACGGTCAGATGCAGCCCGTCCCCTTCCCCCCAGACGCCCTCATCGGCCCCGGCATCCCCCGACACGCTCGCCAGATCAACACCCTGAGCCATGGGGAGGTGGTGTGCGCAGTGACGATCAGCAACCCCACGCGACACGTGTACACGGGCGGGAAGGGCTGCGTCAAGGTCTGGGACATCAGCCACCCCGGCAACAAGAGCCCCGTCTCTCAGCTCGACTGTCTGGTGAGTGAACATAAATGAACATGTTTTAAGCCTTCATTCACAAAATAGGCTGGATGTACCAACAGCACACAGATTGATCCCAAGTGGGTGGCTGTCTTCAGTGGTTCATGGTTTTTAACTTGCCTCTTGTCTTCTTTGAGTGACTCCAGGTAGATTCATCTGGTTCGTCACATGTGGCATGTACTCTAGTAGTTTTCATTCACCCTCCCCAGTTCCTGGAAGCAGGCGCTTGTTTTCCTGTCCGATTAAAAAAGTTTAAGAAAACTTAAGACAAGACTTCCTTGGAAGTCTGCACTAGACTCTGCACTAGAGGGATGGGTTCAGTCTGTGGTTGGAGAACTAAAATTCCATATGCCACTTGGCGGGAGCCCAAAAAAAAAGAAGAGCCCATGGTGGTTTCTGTGAGAGTGCTCCCAAGTATCAAAATCTGTCACTTTTGAAGACAAGCAACTTAATACTTCATGTGATAAACGCTACTATTGCTACTGCTAAGTCACTTCAGTCGTGTCCAACTCTGTGCGACCCCATCCCTGGGAGTCTCCAGGCAAGAACACTGGAGTGGGCTGCCATTTCCTTCTCCAGTGCATAAAAGTGAAAAGTGAAAGTGAAGTCGCTTAGTTGTGTCCGACTCTTGGCGACCCCGTGGACTGCAGCCTATCAGGCTCCTCCGTCCATGGGATTTTCCAGGCAAGAGTACTGGAGTAGGGTGCCATTGCCTTCTCCGGTGATAAACGCTAGCTATCCCCTTATGTGTCTCATGGGTATTCGTCCTTCAGTTCCTTAAGAAATTTCAGTTTGATTTTCTTTCTTGGGTAGACAGGAGAATTTTTGCAGCAGCACAGAGCCAGATCAGTTTACTGTAGTTACACAAGACTCCCCTAACCTCATGAGCTGAGGACTTGTCTTTTTTTCTGTCACTTAACACACCTTGGCCAAGCCTTGCCTCCGGTTGGGCCTGCTTAATTAAGCCCACAGTGTCCCTCGGCCAGGTAATGCAGGGCCTGGCGATCGGAAGGGACTGCAAGGTGTCTAAGTCCTTGGCGCTTTCTTGGCAACAGAGAAGCAGGGCCTTGCAGCAGCCAGATCTCTGTACCCAGTTCCCAGGCAGGCCTGGCTGCTCCAGGGTGACGAGGGCTGCTGAGTCTGTAGGTGCAAATGACTCTGGCGGCTGGTTGACTTGCTGGTGGTGGGAGTGGGTCTAGATCTTTGTATTTTCATGCTAATTAAGATTAAATATCTCAGTACTAAATTTTGTAGATCAAGTTTAAGTACTTCCTTAATTTCATGTAATTTGCTAGCATTAATCCACTTTATCATTGTCATAAGTGAAAATGGCTCATTAAAGCCAGGAGGGAACACAATACTTTTATGGATTTCTGCTCTCATGTTAATGCTGTTTTCCTTTCCTCATGAGTAACCTCTTGATGGGTTTTGTCTCTACAGAACAGGGATAACTACATCCGTTCCTGCCGATTGCTCCCTGATGGTCGTACCCTAATTGTGGGAGGTGAAGCCAGTACCCTGTCCATCTGGGACCTGGCGGCTCCCACCCCGCGCATCAAGGCAGAGCTGACGTCCTCGGCCCCCGCCTGCTACGCCCTGGCCATCAGCCCCGACTCCAAGGTCTGCTTCTCCTGCTGCAGTGACGGCAACATCGCCGTGTGGGACCTGCACAACCAGACGCTGGTGAGGTGGGTCAGCAGGACCCCGTGCCAGGGCCGAGGACTTAACTGTGCTGTACCAGGGAGCTGTGTGTGTGTATTTTCAAAAAGATGAAATACAACTATCTTACTCAAAATTGTTAAGAGGAGAGAGCCATTTTAAGATGCCATAAAATCTTGTTTTCTGCACCATTTGAACTTTATTGAATAAGGACTGCTTTGTTCTTTTTTTTTAAATTATACTAAGCACATCCAATTCACATTTTAAAATATGAGGTCGGTTTTACATAATTAATACATGTAAGGTGTCCATGAGCTCATTAGACACCTATAATCTGCCATCTGTGCAAACAAACCATCCTGTTGGTAGATGCTTGTTGAGAAGATTCACCGTGTGTGGCTCTCTCCTTGGTGCCATGTGTATCTGACACATTCTTTCCTTTTGACAAATAATCGTTGAGCTTCTACACTGGGCCCAGGTGTTGCGTCTGGTGTACCTCACCCTGAAACGGTGTAGATGATCTAGTCCCACCTTCAGAACGATTAGAAGTAATTGTATTTGTGTAGAAATAAGGTGATACAGGATTGGCATTGATAGGAAAAGCCCTGAAGCGCATGTGATCTTCAGGTGTCAGCACCTGGGAGAGCAGGAGACAAGAGGTGTGAACCGCTGAAGGGTCTGCAGAGATTGTAATGGAGCCCAGCGACAGGGTGAAGGAGAAGAGACCCCTGCTGTCCATCTGTAACTTATTTTGCAGGATGCAACTCTATAAGTGATTCCAAAAACAAAGGAGTCATCACTTTTTTCCCTTTAGGGTAAGGTTCTCAGGAGGAACTGCTTCTAATCCCCACCCCCAGCACCCGTTTCTTACACATTTTACGTGCTCCTTGGGCAGCCTCATATGGTTGCATTGTTGCTCAATGGCAGAATTTGTCCTGCCCCTTCCTATGCCACCCCCCGCCCCGCCCCCAGAGCTTTCAGAAGGGAAAGATCTGCTGCACCCTCCTACCTTCTCTCCTTCCTTCATATCCCAAGGATAGAGTAGGTCTCAGATGGTATATTTGATTAATTCATATTCATGTAGCTGTGTTCTCTTGTTTCAGATGGACATCTTTTTCCTATCAGTTATTTCAGTCATGTTTTAGCATATCAGTAATTTGAAGAGTACTTCCTAAGTTTTCATAAATAAAAAGTGCAGGAGATTCAGCATCTCAGTTTAACTTTAATCTCTCTACATATATGCTCTGTTATTATTTTGAATAATAGAAAACCTAATAAACCAAAAGGACATTTACCAATCAGGCCTGCAATGAAACTGGTGACTGAGGAATTCTAAACTAAGTTCACCTAAAAACTTACAAAGTTCAAGGACTTTTCTCCATGTTGGCATGCTCAGGCAATTCCAGGGCCACACGGACGGGGCCAGCTGTATCGACATCTCCAACGATGGCACCAAGCTGTGGACAGGAGGCTTGGACAACACGGTCCGGTCCTGGGACCTGCGCGAGGGGCGGCAGCTGCAGCAGCACGACTTCACCTCCCAGGTGCGCGCCCGGGCACGTGCCATCTTAGAGACTGGGTTGTGTGGGACATGGGAGAGACTTGAGCAGCAGTTCGTTCTCCACGTGACCAGGTGGCACGAGTGGTAAAGAACCCGCCAGCTGATGCAAGAGACATAAGAGATGCGGGTTCAATCCCTGGTTGGGAAGATCCCCTGGAGGGGGAGGACATGGCAACCCACTCCAGTATTCTTGCCTGAAACAGCCAATGGACAGAGGAGCCTGGTGGGCTGCAGTCCATAGAGTTGCAAAGAATCGGACACGACTGAAGTGACTTAGCACACACACGACTCTGTGAGATACATGAGAGACTCCCAACAGCAGTTCCTTTACCATGTGACAGTCACTTTTGACACTGAATTAGATAAGAAAAATTTTATTATTTATTGCCAAAATACAGTGGTTTATATTTTATTGACAGTTTCTTTTTAATCTCGTTTATTACAAGCTTTTTGCAAACTTTTATTTCCATAACCATTACTCTGTAGACCTTTGAATTTCTCACAATTGATTAGTAAGTGAGATTGTGGACATCTGACTCATTACTTGGGGTTACACGTTTGCCTTTTATTTCTTCCTGCATATTTCACATTGTCTTGATGTCCTTCATCATGTAAGCAGTAGCCCCAGAGGAAGCAGCGCCTCGCCTCCCTGTTAAAGGAAGTGCATCCTCTGCAGCCACCGTCATTGTCACCTGTTTCTATTCTAGATCTTTTCTCTGGGCTACTGCCCAACTGGGGAGTGGCTGGCCGTGGGGATGGAGAACAGCAACGTGGAGGTGCTGCACGTCACCAAGCCGGACAAGTACCAGCTGCACCTGCACGAGAGCTGCGTGCTGTCGCTCAAGTTCGCCCACTGCGGTAAGCGAGCCCCCCGTGTCCGCCGCCTGCCCTTCCGCCTTCCTGCTGCTGCATTTCAAGTCAGGTCTTCAGTTCAGGGGTGTGTCCCTCCTCGGAATTCTCCTCCTCTCTCACACAGGCCTACTTCCCTAATACTGTGTCATTTTCTGGTGTCTATCTACTTCATCCCTGTCCTGAGTATAAATCACTCATTTATACAGTGTGAGAGTGGGCTTTATTTTTCCAGTGAAAAGAAACTCTTACTTGTTTCAGATTAGGTAACAGATTAGGTAATTTCAGATTAGGTAATTTCTGTGTATCATTGATGCTCTGTAACACAAATCTTGGGATTCTCAAAGAGTAATAAACTCTGCCTTTTTTGAAACCCTATTTCTTTAGGCAAATGGTTTGTAAGCACGGGAAAGGACAACCTTCTGAATGCCTGGAGAACACCTTATGGGGCCAGTATATTCCAGGTAACGCTTCACATGTGTAGCCTTCACTCCCAGTATGCTCACCGCATGGTTCTCTGTGCTGTGTGGTTCTCTCTCCTGTTTACATGTTAGAAGTTTCATGTCTTCTCTGAAATTTCATTTTTTGCACTGTGGCTTTTAAAAATTTTGTGTAAAATTTGAGCATTTTGCTTGAATACTAATTATCTTATTAATATTTCTGTCCCCACTACCCCAAAAAGAGTGCTATAGGAAACTAAGAAATTTGGACTAATTTTATAAACTTTTATTCTTAATTCAGTGGTACTTTGTGTAGTTTGTGGAATTATTTGTAGGAGAACTGGATTGTTGGCATGATACACAGACACAAGTCTCATCTCTCTTGCTAGTATGTGAGAATTTCATAAGCAAGTCAGAGATTTCCTTTTTAACTTTATGTATTTGGGATGCTATTTCCCTAGGTGGTTTTAGGAATAGCATAATAGATTTGCCGCCTTCTTGACCACGTGGTATTAAGTCATCATAGAGGAGATTAATTCATTTGAATCTGAAACTGCATATATTGAGTGAAAGTATTATGCAAGGTAATAAAACAAAAATAGCATATTCATGCTGTCTTGGAGTTTATAGTGTAATAGAGGAGTTTTTGTATCAGCTTTTGGATGGTCCCAGCCAGCACTTTTTTAAAAGCTGTATTTTTATTTTTGGCTGTGCTGGCTCTCTGCTGCTGTGTGCGGACTTCCTCTGGTTGCAGTGTGCAGGCTTCTCCTTGTGGCGGCCTCTCCTGTTGCCGCACGTGGGATGCAGGCTCATGGGCTCGGCAGCTGCGACTTCGGGGCCCTAGAGTGTGGACTGCGTAGTTGCTGTGCACGGGTGTTGCTGCCACAAAGCCTGTAGAATCCTCCTGGACCAGAGATGGGACTCATGTCCCCACATGAGCATGCAGATTCTTAACCGCTGGACTACCAGGGAAGTCCCCAACCAGCACTTTTTTGAAAAATGAAAATATTTTAAGAGTATATCTTCTTATCATAAGCGTGTTGTATCCGCTGGTTTGGGGAGTAAAATGTATTTAATTCAGGTTGCGATCTGAACGTTTAAGAAATGCTGGTAGTAGGTTAGCATCTACATGTCAAATATTTATTTATTTTTTTAACTATTCAAAGCCCCAGTAAAAATCTTGTGGGATTTGTTTGTTTATTTAGCACAGTTAAAAGTTAACCGTGAATGCTTTGCAGTTGGTGTAGTTGGATGTGGTACTGGAATTCTGTGAGGGGTACATTTTTCCTCCTAATTATTGAACTCACTCCCACTTGCAAATTTATGTTCTGTTTTTACATGAGGGTCAACTAGGATTTATATTAGAAATATTTTTACCTTCCTTGTCTCAAAAAAAATAGTCTTTTCAATGCAGTTCGCCCTTATTTAACCTCATCTAGACTCTGAGACTAACCCTCTGAGGTGGCAGACGGGTAAACTAGGGCCAGACAGGTTAGGTGATGGTGTCTAGTGTTCTGCAGCTCCCATCTACACCCGAGCCATCTGAGTGAGACCAAGGGTTTTCATACTGAGAGCACTGCCCTTAGCTGGAGACCAGGATTTGAAGCAAAGCCTTCCTTCACCAGCAGTGGGGCTTGTACCTTGGACTTGCCTGGCGCTCAGCTCCCAGTCTTCCCCGCCCCCGCCCCAGTGCAGGAGGCTGCAGACCAGCAGAGGGAGATGTCAGTGGGAACGCACCTGGCCCAGCCATTCTAAGAATAGACCTTAATGGGACTAAGGGACTGTTTCCTCCTGGGGCTTCTATTTTAGTTAAGGGAACACGCTCTGCTGCTTTTTGCTCCGAGTCCTCCAGTCCTGCCTCAGTATTCATGGGTTTTTCTTTCAGTCTTTAACGTGTGTGTGTGTCTCTTTCCCAGTCCAAAGAATCCTCATCGGTGCTCAGCTGTGACATTTCTGTGGATGACAAATACATTGTCACTGGCTCTGGGGACAAGAAGGCCACGGTTTATGAAGTTATTTATTAAGGACAAACCTTCGTGCGGAATGGACTCCTCCTCCTTGTAGCACTTTTTTCTCTCATCCTTCTGTTCCCCTGCATCCAAAACCAAGGGTTTCCTATTACTCATTGCAGTTGTGGAGTCAGCCCCTCCTCCCCCACTTCCTCCCTGCTATGAATTGTGAACACTCATTAAGAACCTGTGATATCAAACTCTTCAGCTGTCTACTTGGAAGATCATGGATAACCCTACTTAACAGTGAAAGGAATCTTTAATTATGTATTATATCTGTAATATATTTATTTTGTTTAAAGAAGGCTTTCTAACAATGACTGACTAAATAAAGCTGTCTGTTCCTGCATTGGTAATGAAGATGCGTTGTACTTGATACCCGTCCCCCCCCCCTTTTTTTGGCAAAGGAGGGGAAAGGAAGGTTTAAAATAACTGATTAAAAATGTCACTAAATGTAGACTAATGGCTGTATAGAGATGTGAAATGTATAATTACATATGGAAGCAATATGTTGCTGTGTTGTTAGATTTTTTGTTTTTACATATTTTAAAATGTTCAGAAATTTAAACAATTAGAATGTGACAGACCACATCATATTCATTTGAGTCTATTCGGACAACTTTAACAAATATATCTATAGCTTTAGATTATATTCGATAAAAGTACTTGGACTTTTTCTTTTTTTTTTTTCTTTTTTTGACTTGTTGACAAGTGTCTTTGTAATATGTTTTTAATTCCTTTTTTATTGTATAATAGACAGATGATCAAATCAAATTTGGCCTCAAAGGGAGAACTTAATCCCTTCTGGATATTTTTGCCACATTTCTTTGCAAAGGGAGATGTATGACTTTGGGCAGTTTTGTCTAAGAGAAATTAGGGGCTATTTTTTGGCATGTTCTTTGGGAATGGCGCAGATCCAGGGGAGGAGTCCTCCCACTGTGCAGGTCAGGTCTTTTACAAGACAAGGACAGCAGAGGAGGATTTGCAAGGGCCTCCCTCTGAAAACCAGGAAGAATGGACTCTCACCTGGGATGAGGACTTGCTTTCTTTACCTCCGGTTCTTTCCATGTCTTAGTTGGATGTCCCTGAAATGGACACAGGCTGTGCCATTGTGCCAGAAACATTGTTGTTATCTTTTATGTTGTTGTTGTGTTAAACTATGATATGTGACTCCTTTTTTTAATTATTATTATTTTGTTCGAATGCTTTAAAAAAATCTTTTGAGTCTGTGGATCTGCTGATGTACAGTGCCTTTGCTGCTATGGATCAAAATCAAGAGAACTGTGTAGATAAACTTTATTGTATAAGTAGAAAATTACTTAATTTCATACTAGAACTGGATGGATGCTGCAAGTTGAAACGGACTGTCCATTGACGTTCCTAATGTGGTAGCAGAAAACAAAATGGTGTCTTAAGTGCTTCGTGTTTGATGTCATTAACAGTTTCGTAAAACTCTACAGTGTAGAAAGATTTTGATACTAAACTGTGCATTGTACATAGTTCTCATGCATTGTATTGACCACCAGTACTTCTATAATGGTAGATTGTGCATTCAGACTTTTAAGCATTAAACATAAGTAACTTCTAGTATGCTTATTTCTAATTCTTTGTTTTGCTGACTTTAGTTTTTTCTTTTTTTTTTTTTTTTTTACTATGCCACTCCTATATGTGAAGACTTATTAGTTTTATTCAAGGGAGATTGTTAAAAAGTCATGTGGGCTTTTTATTGTTGCTCTTTTAATTCTCTTTTTGTTTTTACTTGAGAAGAGCTAGAAGGGAGAGTGGATAGAAGTTACTGATGACAGGTTGCTACCAAATATTTATTGATTGCCTCTTTAGTTTGTCAAAAAGTTGGCTTGTTGCTCAGAAGTCTTGATGTCCTAGAGCTGTAATGTGCTGTGCTGTTCAGTGTGGTTACCACTAGTTAGCCATTTGTGGCTATTTAACTTGATTAAAATTAAAAATTCAATTTGTCAGTCATACTAAGTACATTTCAAATGTTCAGCTTGCCACATGTGCCTAATGGCTATCATGTTGGACTCCATAAATTTGTAGGACATTTCCATCATTACAGAAAGTTCTGTGAGACCAGTGGTGCTTTAGAGTTAGCACATGCATGCCATTTCCAGCCTTTGCAAAACATTCCCAACATGATACACTGAAGTCTTTGAAAGCTTAAGATCCCTTGAGCTGCTCCTGGTTGAGTGTGTGAAGCTTCAGCATAAGAAAGCACTTAAAGAATTCTAAACTTTGGGACTCAAAAACATCATTTTATAGATCCACTGGGTAGAAAGAAGTCTGAAGATTGGGAGCCTCATGGTGGTCTGGAGTGTCTCAGTGATTTAGCTGTATGAGGTATTGAGTGGTCAGGTGCTAAGAATTCGGCAGTTTTCATCGTGGAAGTAACACTTCAAATGTGAGTGGTATGAGTGCTGCTATATCAGATATGATAATGTTTTAAAGTATTCTTAGCTTAATTAATTATGTTTATCCTTCTTAAAATTTCTTTAAAAGTAATAGTGTTTTTTTGAGTAAAAGAAAACTCATTTTGACACAAATAATATGACACTTGCCTACTATGTTGACACTTGTAGAAGAAAGTACTTGTCTCGAGGAGTTAGAGTTCTTGTTTGGTGCCTGGTGGGTCAGTCTGTGATGCCTTCAATTTTTCTCTTTATAGGGAGCCAAAGCACTGGCCCTTATTCTGGATTAAAAATGGAGATGAATGCATAATCAATCCTAGCTTTTTAAAATAAATGGGCCTCTTTTTTTCTCATTGCTGAGGTCTTATCAGATTCGATTTTTATGTCTCTGATATCAGTCTCAGGCCTAGATTGATTGCATAGCAGTCTTGATGTTATTGATGTTTTAATTACTTGGTCTTCCATAGTTTTTACTCCATGTGTGGCCTTGCAGGGTCTGAAGAACGACACAGATAGAATCACCCTGAACCAAGGAAAACTTAGTTTCAGTGAAAGAAGAGAATGGACTAGAAGGTTGACTTACATAGAGCTACCTAGAAATAAGGAAAATCCCAGATTGAAGACCTTTCAAGACTGGCAGGTCAAACATAAAGTGATAGATGCTCACATCCTCAAATTTATGCAGATAAACACCTCCCTTGTGGCCACTATTCTTCTGGCTTTGTAACCCATGAGCTGCGAAAGATCTCTCTTATCCAGGAATGGTGTGTGCTGAAACTAACCACAGGCTTATAACACCCTGCAAGTGGTTGGTATTCTGCAGCCATGGGATATCCAGAAACCCAGTTTCAAGCTGTCTCATAACCATGAAGTCCTGGGACCCCACAGCCAAGAGCAGGAGATGTTGATGGCACATTCAGAAGGCCGCGTTCTGGACAGAAGCACAGTACAGCAAGACGTTGAGTAGCTAGACCACCAGCAATGCCCTCCGCTGTCAAGACAGCCAGTTTTGTATCCTCAGCTGAACACTCCTGGACTGGCAGCACATAACTTCAGGGATTTGTCAACTGATATTTTTGCCAGTTGTAAGGGAATTTGTACTGGAATACCTTGCCTGGCATTAAGTAAGCAGTTAAAAAAGTATAAAGATGTGGGTACCAAAAGAAATTCTTTTGACATCCTTTGGTGTACTTTTCTATAGCTACTGGCTCCTGGGTAACCTATAGAATGATGTCAGCAGTGAGCCTAGGGTCTGACCACCCCTCAGTTTTCCACTGGGGTATCAGCCGCAAAAAGTAGTCTTGCCACCATCCATGTTTTTTGTTTGTTTTGAGCTAATTGCGTTTATCTGCCTTTCAGTTCAAGCTTCCATTCAGAGCTGACAGTGGAAATACTTTCATTTTTAACAACCCAAGCACATCAGAAAGCCTCTCATGTGTCATAACATTGTAACGCCAGGGCTGTTCTGGTGCTAGGAGCTAACTTTGCTTATAAGCTTGTGTGAACATTGTATTTTAGTCTTGTTTGGGTTTCTGGCAGCGAGTGACAGAATTTTTTGGGTCCCAGATAGGAACTAGTAGCGGAGCTGAGCTCTCATTTACCTCTCCCCAGGGAAGGAGGTTCTCAGCTGGGATCTTAGCTATTTGGCCCACAGGGAAGGGGAGTTCCCACAGGGCTGCCTTCAGTCCAGAGGAAAAGCGCAAGCAAGTGTTTTCACCAAAGTCGCTCTGGCTGATCTCACAGCAGGCCTAGACAGGCTGGATGCTGAATTTACACAGAAGGGCACAGAGCTTCAGAGGAGAAACGTGATTTTCCCAAACTCTGTATTCCGAAGAAGATAAGTCAGTGTGAACCCCAAGGCTCTGGACTTGCAGCTGGGGCCACTGCCTCGTGGGGCAAGTGGGAAAGAGGATGGAAAGGGAGTCTTCCAGATGCTCTCACCTTGCTCCTCTTTGTCCATTTTCCCATGAGTTAACCAGCCTGGAGACTTCTGTGTTACAGCCCGCCTTTAAAACTCCTGGAGTCAATCGCATACCGTCTGTTGAGGTCCTGCATGTGAGCAGTCGTTGTGTACTTGAGGCAAAGACCCACCGTGGGCTGGTAGATTTGCCCATGCCTAACCCCGATATCTTACCGCCTCAGGCAGAAAGCCCCAACCAGCGCCACTGCCTCCACCCCAGTTAGACTTGACGTTGTGGTTTGATGAAAATATTTGGAACTAAGAAGTTTTCTGTTCTTTTGACAGAAAACGTAAACACATGAAAGGGATGATTTATTTGAGTTGGGTGCAGCAAACACATACTAAAAGTACATATGAGGTGTTTGGGTGTTGAGAATTTAGGCAGTAATTTTTTTGACTCCGTTTAGATGGAGCCCATGCTAATTCCCAAATGGTTTCTAGTGACCCATCGTTTCTCCCCAGACCTAGGTAGTAGTTGGCCATTTCTCAATCTTTATTCAGTTTCTCCACAGCATCTTCTAAAAGAAGCTGGTGGTACCCTGGCCATGTTTTGTGTGGTGGAAAGAGTGAGCTCAGTTAGATTTTTTTGTTCTTCCAGGAGGCTGGGAAGTAGCAGGAGAATGAGTTGGTGGTGGGATTTATGTCAGAGAAAACTGTCAGGGCAAGAATGTGCCCATGGACCAGCAGCACGAGGACAGGGCAAGACCCTATCAGGAACCACCTTGAGGAATGGAGTGAGATCCCCGACACCATGCATCAAGCACAGAGTCTTCCTTAAGACAACTTCCCATTATTTGAAGAACTTCAGTCAGACACCTTTGTGCCCCCAAAGAGTTCAGCTTCAATACTCCTCACCTTGTTTACGGATCAAGCCTTAGCATCATGCATCCAACTCAGAAGCCTGGTGCTGCCAAGAACCAAGCACCACCCCCAAAGGCTGTTGGGCCTTCCCAGATGATGCAAATAGCACTTACAGGATTTGTTGAAGTCTCCTATTAAGCTTTACTCTTCAGTCTCCTGCAGACCCGCATAGCCTAGGTAGACACTCAGTGTTAATGAAATGTGATGTCAGGTTTTATGGCTGGGCCAGCAAGGTAACGGTTTCCAAGCGGATGGTCAGTGAACACTACTGCGTGCACGTGTTTAGGCCTCAAGTTCTCTTGTCAACAAGAGCAGCCTCCTGGGTGCAAGGGGGCGGTTGTGAAGGTTGCTCTGAGAGGACAGAGGCCTTGATTCACAGATACCTGTTCTGACAGAGTCTTAAAAGCAAACCATAAAGTGCCCCTAGTGAGACTTTTAGAGTGTTGAAGCTGCCTAAAATGGAAGGATTTACCTCCATCCCCGGAAGGGCGGTGGGTGTGTGTTCACATCAAGAGGCTCAGGCCTAGGTGGTCACCCTGGACCCATGCCAGCTATGCAGACTTCTTCACATGCAGGCAGCCTTGAGCCAGGAGCACCAAACGTACTTGAGTTCAATACCTACAGACTTGTGGCAGACAGCGTCTCCTCCCCATGGCCTTTTGTGCTTGTTTGAATATGTCTTTCTAGCAGAAGATTTGTTTTCACATGAGTTACAATAGCATTATGGTATCTTTTTCCTAATACATGCTGTTAGATTTGTGGAATTCATGCAAACCTGGAACCTACATCCCAGACCTGCAAGAGTGAATAAGATAAGGCAAGTTGGTGTTATTCGAGCTTATAAAGGTTTTATCTTTTTTCCGTTGCTTTATTGAGATATAACTGACACATAACATTGTAAGTTGACAACATATAATGT